ATGAAACGCCATCCTCAGTTGCGTTGTACCATCGGCCATGGGCTCAGAGGGTTGGTCATGGCACGAGTGACGTGCTTGCAAGATGATGGCGTGCGTGGTCGGCCTTCGGGACGCTTCGAATCCGGCTGACGCGTGTCCGCGGATATCCCCGAGCCAGCTATCACGCGGTTCGATCGCCGCGACATGACAACGCTATCGGTATGTCGTTCGGTCTTTGGCAATGCAAAGGATTGGGCGGTGCATATAACATACACGCGGCGGTGCAGTCAGTGCCCACGGACGTCTCTCTTCGTTTCCCCCGCGCAAATTCAGCGCCGCCGATCATCCTCGGCTGCCCATCTTGGTCACGAGCTTCAACTTCGATCGCATGGCGCCCGCCTGTCGCGTACTATTTATTTGTATACTTGTCATGCTACGAACTTCGTTTCAGGCGGAGAAAGGGCGGATCCGACCAGATTATTGCTGGCCGAGTGACGTGGCGCCCAGCTGCGCACGCGAGGGAAGGAAGAGTGGGAGGAACACCAAGTCAGCCGACTGCCGCATAGATGCTGCCGCCGCAGGCTGCCGTTGTATGGGGACGAAACGCGCTCCCGTCCCTGCGCCGAGAGCGATACGTCCCTTCACAGAGGCGGCTACGTCCAACACGACTGCCTCGGCCGCTCGCTGCCCGCTCAGTATCTTGGTCGCATCTCTGTGGCTTGCCAACCTCACTTTTTGGCGCTTGAAGAAGCATATACAGTGTAGAACGCGTCCTCCAGCATACGCCCTTTGTTGGTACCGACGTATTGACGCTGCTGTAGCTATCGAGCCGCCTTTGCGAGGTCACCAGCCAGCGGCAGTGTGCAGCGTGTAGCTAGCTACTCGCATGTATAAGCCGCGCAGCCGACGACCCGACGCAGGCAGAAGTGACTTCGAGAACCATCTGCTCGAGAACCATCTGCTCGACCAGTTGGTTGCCGAATCTCGATCAAATCCGGGCTTTTCGAAAGCTCACTTTGGAATTTGCCACCTTCGAGCGACCATGAACCTCTACCCGCAGCAGACGCACGACATCAACAACGGCGCCGCCATCGCCCACCAGAACCTCCAGATCGACAACTGGTGCAACGAGATCTACTCGGCCTGCGCCGGCTTTGGCACGGACGAGGACCGCCTCACGAAGCTCATTGGCACCAAGACGGCGGCCGAGCGCCACCTCATTGCGCTCCGCTACCCGGAGCTCCACAACAAGTCGCTCTACGACGAGCTCAAGCGCGAGACGTCGGGCGACTACGGCAAGCTCCTCCAGCTCCTTGCGCAGCCGCTTGAGGAGGCCGAGGCCATGATCATCCGCGACGCGACCAAGGGCGCCGGCACCACCGAGAAGCTCTTGTACCCGGTGCTTGGCGGCCGCACGAACGAGGAAATCAACATCCTCAAGAAGGCCTTCTTCAAGAACTACCAGAACGACATGGTCGTCGTGCTTGCCGACGACCTTGGCGGTGACCTCAAGACGTTCTTCCTTGCGATCGTCAACCAGATGGCGCAGCCGTACAACCCGAGCATCCACACGCAGGCCAAGGCCCAGGAGTTCGCCGAGGTCATCTACAAGGCCGGCGAGGGCAAGTGGGGCACGGACGAGAGCGCGTTCTGCAACGCGCTCTGCTCGATCCCGGCGCAGTTCATGGCCACCGTCAACGCGGCGTACGTCGCCAAGCACGGCAACAGCCTCGAGCGCGCGATCGAGAAGGAGTTTGGCGGCAAGTCGGAGGACGCGCTCCTCTACCACGTCGGCATGATCCTCCACCCCATCGAGACGATCGCGGTCCAGATCGAGCGCACGATGAAGGGCATTGGCACTGACGAGTATGGCCTTGCCTCCGCCATCGTCCGCTACCAGCACCTCCTCCCGCAGGTCAAGCAGGCGTACCAGTCCAAGTACAACACGTCGCTCCGTGACCGCATTCACGGCGAGACGTCGGGCGACCTCCGCAACCTCCTCCTCACGATCCTCGAATACTCGAGCTAAACGTACTAACTACTGATGTCTTTGTCTTCCGTCTCTCGCTTCGAACGCATTGCATGGCGCTTTGTCCAAAGAAGGGGGTACTAGTACATGAACTAACTCCTCTACGAGTACCTGAATGGACTGCGAGCTTCATGACTTCCTTCTTGATGTTGTCGCAAGTCCATGGCCAGGCTGAGCTCAAGACGAGGGTGCAGCCTAGCTCGGGTTCTGCACGCGGAGCAGTCAGGCAACCAGAGTCTGATGCTCCATCCTGCATCGAATCGAAGATGGCCGGCTGATACCTCGGTGGTACTGCCACCGCTGGCGAAGGGCCTATCTGGTACTTGGCGAGAGGTCGTCTACAGACGCTGGTCGAGCCTGCTCGCCCAAGATCCAGCGAAGCAGCCTCATGCAGAGGGTCTCGGCTCCTCCTCGCAGCGTCTCTAGAGAGCGCGTCTGTAGCGGTGGCCATGCGTGAGGAACCGATACGGCAAGATCGGTATGTGCCGAAAATACTAAAGGTGGCATGTGCCGAAAGATCGGAGGTGCGTTTGGTGCCAGTTGCACACGCAGTCCAGCACAACGACAACGTCAGCATGGCCGAGCCGAGCTGCCCACCGCCGGCCACGGGCATGGTCCGCGTCCTGCTCCAGCTCGAAGGCCTCTTCCTCCTCATCGCATGTCTCGTGGGCTACGCGCGGCTACAGGGCAACTGGATCGTCTTTGCGTGCGGCTTCTTCGCCGGCGACCTCTTCTCGGTCGCGTACGTCGGCGGCAACTGGCTCGGCGCGAGCGTCTACAACCTCTCGCATACGCTCGTGGGCCCGCTAATCGTGCTCGCAATCTACGCGGTGCTGCCGTCGTCGCCCATCGGCGTGGCCTACGCGGGGCTTATCTGGATGGCGCACATTGGCTGGGAGCGCTCGCTTGGGTACGGGCTTCGGTACCCCGAAGGCTTTCTCGCAACGAGCATCACGGTCGATCAAGACCCCACGATTTACTTTCAAAAGCCACCAGCGGCGACCGATACGCCCGTCGCGTCGTACCGTACGTTCCAGCCCTCCGCCGTGTAATCGCGCCGCAAGCCGTTCGGACGATCACTGTTCTGCCATGACAGCGCATGGATGGGTTGCGACCACTGCCTCTGAATTGCCCCTTGATAATGTAAGCTGCACTTGATGACGGTGGCATTGGTCTTATGCCAACGTTGCAGCCAGCATTGAGCATGGTCGCATGAGCTACGACGCGATGGAGGCCACTAGCCAAATATTGCCGATGTGCCGCTACTAGTACGTTCGCTATGGGACTGCGCTCGAGGAGACTCGATGGCAAATCGACTTTGCCCGGAGTTCGCCACTTTCTGGGCGTAAACGATCGTAGGCGCCACTCGAGCAAACTCGTCGCTCCAACCTCTCCGCTACGAACTAGCAAGAATACATAAACTCAAATCGGAGTTGTGTACTCTTGGAACTATATATGTAGGCTCGTGCGTGAAAGAAACAAGGACAACTTGTCCACGCGGCGTCCATACCGCTACCGACAGTCCTTCCCAATTGTGTTTTATTGGCCAAATTTTGACCAATGGCCTGGCGCGGTTAGCCCTGCGTCTTCCTGCGGACGACCAAAATACTACTAGCCGAGGTGGCGATAAAGCTGATGGCGTGCAGATGACCGACTGTATCGATGAGACTGGGTCGTTCTCGTGGCGTTCACCGTGGGCTCTTGCCCGATGTCAACAAGTGGCAGAGTCGGTTGATTGGCGGTTACGCCTCGCACTTTGCGGGAAAACGGTATTTTATCCGGATAAAGTACGTGTATCGACCCAATCAACCCATTTCTGGATCATGGTGCAAGTCCCTCCGCCGACGCTGGCGGCTGTCGACGTGGCCGAGATGGAGCTCTGGGAGCGCGAGTCAGCGCCTGCGTTCCAGTACACTGTCCGAGTCGGCAACCTCGTCAAGCGCCTCACGGCGATCCAAGACCGTAGCCTCTGCACGACGGAGAAGCCCGCCGTTGCATCGCATGGCCACTGCGTCTGGGACGCTGCACTCGTGCTGGCCGAGTACCTACAGCGCCACGCGCAGCCCTGGCAGCAAGCCGTCGAGCTCGGCGCCGGCGTCGGCCTCGTGGGCATGACGCTCTCGGCCATCGGCGTCACCGACGTCGTCCTCACTGACCAAGCGTACTGTCTTCCGCTGCTGCAAAAGAACGTCGAGTACAACTTTGGCGCCGACCGCCGTCCTCGCGTGCTGGAGCTGCAGTGGGGCGAGGCCGAGACGAATCTGTCGCCGGACGTCGTCGTCGCGTCGGACATTCTGTACAATGCCAGTGTCTTTCCGCTACTGGTGCGGACGATCTGCCAGCTACTTGCGTCACCAGAGAGCGTCATGTTTATGACCTACGAGACGCGGAACGCGGCCATGGAAGCGGACTTCATCCAGCAACTCGAGGCGCAAGGGCTGCATTGCGACTGTGTTTCGCTCGACCACGCCCGGTATGCGACCCTCGTGCCCTACCCCGAGGAGATTTTTCTGTATCGAATTTCACCTATTACCAAATAAAGCTTAAAGAGCGCACTTCGTGTATACATGGTGTTGACAAGTCGAGAGATCGAGGTTACTTGCCATGGGTCAATAATAGACCCATGCTTGCTAATGCCGAGCTTCTCCTCGGTAGATGGAGAACGCGCTGCAACGTTCACGACGACTCGCGTTAACGAGGAGCGGTTTGAGACCGACTCGATAACACCGGTCGTTTCAACTGCGTCGAAATTAGCACAACGCCGCTTGACGATGACCAATCGGATGCCGAGCTTACGAGGTCGTAATGTGAGGTGTTCCTTTCACGTCACCCAACAAGGTGGCGTCTCAAGTCACTACGTTCTTAGGGACCGACTTGAAGGTGCGATAGCTCGGGAGCCAGCCACCTGTCATTGCTGCGTCATTGGGATCTTTTTCATTGGGTCGCGCACGCTAACGTTTACGGAGACCCCGAGCGGTTGAACCGGCGTTCGGTTTCGTGGAACATACTAGTATCTCACATTTGCATGCTGCGGGACGCGTGCCACAAGCCTACCACGCCCTTGACTCTAACCCGATGACGAGCCCTTCCAGCGTGACGCCGACACCGTCGACCAGTGCCAAGACGACACTCGACTGTCGTGTCGACGCTACGGCTGCCATCGAGGTTGACGTCGCCGACAAAGCATCGATGTGCCATATCTGGGCCCTTGGCGTCCTCACTGTCATTGGCGGTCAGTTTTACGGCTGGAACGAAGCGCTAAGTACCGGCTTTGTACCCTACTTTGTGTCGCAAGTGCTCATGGGCCTCGCCTTCATTGCGTACATGGCGTGTGCTTCTGAAGTCTGCGGCAAAATTCAGTTTTCCGGCGGCGCGTACGGCCTCGCGCGCGTCACGCTCGGCTTCTACACCGGCTTCCTCGTCGGCTTTTTAGAGCTCCTCGAGTACGTCACGTACACGTCGGTCTCGGTGCTCTTCATGTCGGACTTTATGACGACAACGTACGGCGTGGAGAAGGCGTGGGAGCCGCTGCTCTGGGCTATCTACTACGCGGTGACGACGAGCCTGATCTTGCTCCGCGGCAAACATTTTTGGCGCTTTTGTCTCGTCCTTGCCGCTGCGTGCGTGGTGCCACCCCTCGTCTATTGCGTCGCCTCGATTGGGCATACTGACTTTGCAACATATGGACCGCTCCAAATCGGCAACGCGTCCGAACAAGAGGTGTGGGCGGCCGGCGACCTCGGCGCTGCCTACTTTGCGTGGCTGCCTTATACCACGTGGGCGTACGCCGGGGTCGAGTGCCTCACACTGGTGACGAGCGTCACAAAAGATGCCAAGACGTCGATGCCCAAGGGCTTGATGGCCGCCACCTACACGCTCTTCGTGTTCAACGTGGCGCTGGTGTGCATCGTCTCGGCGCTGCCACCTGGTCTCGCGGCCACGGCAAGTGCCCAGTTCCCGCTCAACACTGGGTTCGAGCTCGGTCTGCACATGTCGGCGCACGGGGCGTCGTGGCTCATCATGCCCGGTCAATTTGGCATGGCGTTTGGCTTCATGATGCCATGCGCACGACTGGCGCAGGCGCTCGCCGACTCCAACTTGCTGCCGCTGCGTCTCGGAATCAAGGGCCAGTCGACGCCGCGCCGGGCGCTGGTGCTGACGTCGACCAGCGGGTACCTCATCTGCCTCGTCTCGTTCTACAGTCCTCTGTTTCTAAGTGCGCTTTCAGGCAACCAGAGTCTGATGCTCCATCCTGCATCGAATCGAAGATGGCCGGCTGATACCTCGGCGGTACTGCCACCGCTGGCGAAGGGCCTATCTGGTACTTGGCGAGAGGTCGCCAACTGACGCTAGCCTCCTGCAGAGGGTCTCGCTCCTCCTCGCAGCGTCTCCAGAGACCGCGTCCGTAGCGGTGGCCATGCGTGAGGAACCGATGCGGCAAGATCGGTATGTGCCGAAAATACTAAAGGTGGCATGTGCCGA